CACTACTACGAATATTCCATATTCACTACAGTACTACGAATATTCCATATTCACTACGCAGAAGTGTTTTTTGTTCGTTGTGAAGAACTGGAATTTCTGGCTTTTTAAAACAGACATTTAAGTATATATACCACACATAAATTTCAACAGAAACTTCACACATGTAGGGCAAAGTTACTTAGCGCTAGAAGATCCCGGAAGATAACTGCGCCATCTATGCTATGGTTGCTGGGAGAAGACAGAAGCAAGAATAGTGATGTGGCTGTAGTTCCTCTGTGCCAAAATATTTCAAAGGGATTTTTTTGTGTGTGGGGGGGGACGAAATGAAATGTGAAGCAAGGATTCAAGTAAGTGCAACACACACAATGAAGAAACATTCAGTCCTTTTAACTGCTCAGGTAAACTTATCTTACCATGCCTGCTTTACAGAATGAAGACTAGGAAGCCATCTTCCGATTTCCAAACCCTTTCCTTGGGGTAGGCAACTTGAAGAAAAGCTATATGACACCAAATGCTCTACAGATATGTTGTGTACATATTTTGCGTATGTTACCAAAATATGTCCCCTCATCTTTTGAAATTAAAAAAAAAAAGATGAGCAATAAGAAAGATGTTATCCAGTGCTAGAGAATTGCTAAAGATGAGTACTGTATGATGTATACTATGGTTGCTGAGGAAAACAGAAGCAAAAATTGCTTAGATGTGGCTGTAGCTCAATATCTGTGCCAACATTTTTTGAATATCTGTTTTGGACTTAATGAAATACACATTTTTAACCTCTCGGATAAACTAATTTTGCCATGCCAGTTCTGCAGAATGCAGAGCTGAAAGCTATGCTCCCATTTCCAAACCCTTTCCTTGAGTCTGGCAAGCAGAGGAAGAAAAACTGTATCAAACCAAAGGCTCTAGAAACATGTGGCCTGCACGTTTCCCAATATTTCCCTTTGCCTTTTGAAATTAAACAAACAAACGGACCTGGGAGTTTGCAAAGATTGTCACTGGAAGCCAAGGTCAAATCATCCATACTATGTGGAAGGAGGACAATAAAGAAAGACGGGGCAAAACCCAATTTATTTTAAATGTGGTTTTGAAGGACAGCCTTACAGATACCCCAGACAGCTAGAAAGGCAGAGAAGTGAGGGCTTCTGGTTGCCGATTTTGCTGTTAAGCAACACAGGCCCACGCAATCACAGCATCTGTACCATATAATTTTTCTGCTGGAATTTGTGTGTAGTGTATGTATACTTAAATGTCTGTTTTAATAAATCAGGAATTCTAGTTCTTAAAAAATAAAAAAACTTTTGGTTTATGAATGTGAGACACTGTGCTTCTATATCCACAGTTCAAATTGCAAGGAAATAGCCTGATATTGCTGCACAACATTGTGTCTGCATTGCCTGCAGGAAAAAGGATGCCCAAGTTTTACTAGGCAAAGGGCAGACTGAATGTTGACAACACCAGTAGGAGCAGTCAAGATGGTCTACAGCAGTGGTCCCCAACCTTTTCCAAACTGCGGACCGGCTGCAGGGTGTTGTCGTCTGTGCGCGGGGGGCAGGCCACGTATATGTGGGGCTGGGGCACTCATACGTGAGTGTGTGAGTGGTGGCACCTGTGCACGCATGTGCAGGTGAATGAGGGGTACCTGTGTGTGGAGTGGGGGGCACCCGTGCGCGCATGCATGGGTGGGGAGGGCACTTGTACATGCACAGGCGGGGCACCCGTGCATGCATGTGGAGCGTGTGCATGCTTCTCTGTGTGTGTGGTGTACGTTCAAGGGGCAGGAGATCTGTCTCTGTGGCCCGGTCCTGCCAAGGCCACGGCCTGCTACTGGGCCACAGACCGGGTATTGGGGACCCCGTGTCTACAGGATACCCATTCGTGCTTTTACCAATCATACCCGTCCCAAATGAGCCATGATAATTACTTTGTGTTTGGATGAGAAGTGGTTAACTGATGGAAAACGAAGTCGGCTTCTGGGATTTTCTTTTGCTTGGTGTCACTTTGTGAATGTGTGCTTTTAATAGGTTGCTACTCTATTCTAAGTACAATATAGTACACCTAAAGCAAGTATCAGAGAAAAGAAGCAGTTTTGGTGTAACAGGCCCCTTTTGTGAAGGAAGAAAGGAAGGAATACATCATTAGATAGAAATAACGCTGCATATTCAGCTTACCATCTGGTGGAGGCAAATAGTAATAACCTGGGTGTGGTCTGATTCTATAAAGCAGGCATTTATTTATTTATTTGATTTATATCCCGCTTATCTGGTCAGTTAAGACCACTCATGGCCCATGTGCAAAGCATGGGCCATGAGCTGCATGCATCCTCTGAAGGCCATCTTAGAGTCCCCCACCTCCAACCCCTGTGCCTTAAATCCTTTTTGTCCCAAGCTCCCAAGTTTAGCAGATGATAAAGACGGCTGCCCTGGTGGGGTTATAGCTGTGGATGTATGAACTCTTCTTTCGATATGTGAACTGGCACATTTGTAAAGCACTGGGTTTACGAACATAAAGACCTGTGAGGGTTATTTCAAATGCAGGCAGGTTTCTACACACCTCTTCTACCTCATGTTGTTCTGAGGGATGAGAAATAGCATCAGCATTTCAAGAAAGCCTTTTTTCCTCTCCAAGCAACTCAATTCCTTCGCTCCTCCACTATATCCCCAAAGCCTTATAAAGTATCACTGCTTCATTTTACTAGTTAATTTTCAATTTTTAATACACACACACACACAGAGAGAATAATCAAAACATGGCATTCAATGCATTATTAGGAAACAAATTTCTGAAAGACTTTATTTTGTTCATATAGAAAGTTTCATTACATACTCCTTTAAAGGCAGAAGATGTGGTTTCTTTTTTTTTTTTAAGGGAAAAATGTTAAGAATCTCCTCAGCATGCCCAGCTCTCCATGAAATAATAGGGTTAAAGAAGGGACCCTGCCCCGAAGAGCTTACAATCAACATTTTGTTTGGAAATTGGAATAATACAAAAGAACAGGAAGGAAAAAGAAGTAAATGCATAACAATAAAAAGAAGGGATGGCTACATGGGAATACATATAAGGAGAACCATTAAATGCACCTAGTCTCCATTTTTATTGTGTTTCTGGAAGACTTCAGCTGATAAACAACACAAAAGGAATGCTACCAGATGGAGGTGTGCTGTTGTGTCCCATTTTCTGTCAAACGGTTCTCACGATCTGGCTTTCATCGTAGTGTACAGGCCAACCGTTTTCACAAGCAATGACGATGTACCGGGGAGAGGTGTTTTCTCTGTACTCACAAGGTGGACGGGTTGAGCGACCCCTAAGGGTGCAAGTGGTCACTCTGAAGGGATGTTGGCTGCGCCTCAGGTCCCCAGAGGGCACTCCCCCTCCAGCACACACCGCCTGAATATCTCTTTTGGAGCCGTGGATGAAGGTGTTGACTTCCTTGCACTCGGGCCTGGTCAGGCCACGTCTGGACATGAGGGAGTCACAGTATCGGCCGTGGAAGCTGCTCTTCGGATCATCCCGGTGTTGGTTCAGGAACTTCTCGTAACGGGGATTATTGCCACAGGATGAACCGGGAAGCAGTTCAGCCACCACCAAGATGAGGAGAAAGTAACAGGTTCCTTCAGAAGACCTCATTTTGTTCAGTACCTGTGTGTGGGAAAAACAAAGGATATGTCACTAATAAGTTGGCTGGATAGAGGAGAGTCGTCCTTGTAGTCTGGGGCAAGCTGCACAGTCTCAGGGCACCCCCAAAATAAGGGAATAGTAAATAACTCCTTAAAAATGCTCTACTTAAAAAAAACAACAACCTGGAATCTATCTTTGCAGAGAAAGGTTGAATACGCATATGTGCAAGAGTTTCCATTTAGACTATGAAGTGAAACACTTTACACACAAATGCCACTATTAAAGACTTGTGCTATAGGCATAGCTACAGTGATTGTTTGAAAAGTTAGCAGCCCATAAAGGACGCTTGGAGCTTGTTCCCAATCTGCTCTGAAATAAAAGCACATGGTGTCCTGGCTTTCCTGGAAAAAGCTGGAAGCAGCTTTGGCACTCTGTGCTGGCTGGATAGCTCAGTGGTCTACGTATCTAGCTCCATAAGCCAGAAGCTGGGAGTTCGATTCCCCACTGTGCCTCCTGTGAAATAGAGACAGCCT